GGAGGAGGAGGAGGAGGAGGAGGAGGAAGGAGGAGGAGGAGGAGGAGGAGGAGGAGGAGGAGGAGGAGGAGGAGGAGGAGGAGGAGGAGGAGGAGGAGGAGGAGGAGGAGGAGGAGGAGGAGGAGGAGGAGGAGAGGAGGGAGGATGAGGGAGGAGGAGGAGGAGGAGGAGGAGGAGGAGGAGAGAGGAGAAGAAGAAGAAGAAGAAAGAAGAGAAGACGAAGAAAGAAGAAAGAAGAAGAAGAAGAAGAAGAAGAAAAGAAAAAGAAGAAGAAGAAGAAGAAGAAGAATAAGAAGGAAGAAGAAGAAGAAGAAGAAGAATAAGAAGAATAATAAGAAGAAGAAGAAGAAGAAGAAGAAGAAGAAGAAGAATAAGAAAGAGAAGCAAGAAGAAGAAGAAGAAGAATAAGAAGAAGAAGAAGAAGAAGAAGAAGAAGAAGAAGAAGAAGAAGAAGAAGAAGAATAAGAAGAATAAGAAAGAAGAAGAAGGAAGAAGAAGAAGAAGAAGAAGAAGAAGAAGAGAGAGAAGAAGAAGAAGAAGAAGAAGAAGAGAAGAAGAAGAAGAAGAAGAAGAAGAAGAAGAATAAGAAGAAGAAGAAGAAGAAGAAGAAGAAGAAGAAGAAGAAGAAGAAGAAGAAGAAGAAGAAGAAGAAGAAGAAGAAGAAGAAGAAGAAGAAGAAGAAGAAGAAGAAGAAGAATAAGAAGAGGAAGAAGAAGAGGAGGAGGAGGAGGAGGAGGAGGAGGAAAAGGAGGAGGAGGAGGAGGGAGGAGGGAGGAGGCGATCCCCAGACGTCGAGCTCGGCCGAGGCCTCCCTGGCGGCCCCCCGAGGTTCCCGAAGGCCTCCGAAGACTTGCGGAGGCCTTCGTGGGCCTCGTGGGGCCTCCGCGGGCTTCCGAGGCACTCCGAGGGCCTCAGACAGCCTCCGAGGGACCCAGCAGGTTTCAGGGGGCCTCACGCGGCCAGGCTTTCGACGGTCGCAAAGCCGAAGCGAATCCGACGAGCAGGCTGCGCGGGCTCGGTGCGGCGTCTGGGCTGCGAAGCCGGCCACCGTCGGAGAGGCAAGGCCGGCCGGGGCCTCCTGAATTGCATGCGAGGCACCCTCAAAGTCCTGGCCAGCAATTTCCTGCGAGCCCTGAATTCAGGCGGCGCCGCAGCAGGGCTCCCGGCGGAAACCGTGACACAGGGTTTCCCAGGGCCTCCATCTATCAGGCGAGATCGAGGGGGCGTGGATTAGCGACGGGTCCCGTTTCCACGGAAAATCGCGGATTTCCGCCGCCGAGCGAGGCGGCACGGGCCGCGTTTTGGGGAGGGCACCTCTCGCCGGAACGATGGATCTGGCGACCGCGCGCCAAATCCCTGAGGATCGCTAATCCATGTTTTCGCGCCCCCGAATCTAGGCATCCCAGATGAGGTTGGAGTAGACGGGGTCGGAGGATCGCGCCGCATCGACGATGCATCGGCGATGCGGCTCGATGCGGAGCCAGGTTTTCTTCACGCCGACGTCGCCGATGTGTCGCCAACGTCGGCGATGCATCGCCGATGCATTGGCGATGCGTCGCGATCCTCCGGCCCTTATCTACTCGGATCCCACCTAGGAGGCTTCTACTCCAGGGGCCTCTGCCTTGGCACCGTCGGGTTCGGTCGGACGAAGAGCGCGAGCGAACCACAGCTGCTCCCCTAAGGCTCTGGAGGCACCGCAGCAGCGGCGCGCGCAGCAGCCTCGGCCTGCACACGGCCATGGCTCGATGAGTTGTTCCCTCCCTTCTTTGAAGGCCAAAACAGCAGGTTCCAATAACTTTGCTTGACATATTCTGGCAACTTTGGTGTGTACGAAGGAGTCCCAGAGGAAACAGGGATGTCGTTCGTGACAGCGTCGGCCTGCCCCGTGTGGTTGGTTGTGGCAGGTCCTGAAGAGGATGGCCAACCACACGCCGAAACGCTGAGGGCGAACTGGACCAGGGGTGCCCGAATAGTTGGGCATACTCAGTCCGAGACCAAAGGAGCATCCCAAAACCAAAATAATGCCGACTATATTGCACTTGTGTTGACATGTAGTTGCTTTAATACTCCTTCCATTCAGAGTTGACACGATGTTGCATTTGTTGTGATACGACAGGCAACTTAACCTGTGACGTACCCAACCCATTCAATGGAAACGAGGAGTTGGCCTTGCATGACAAGCAATTTGATGTGTAAGCTACTTGGGACACGCGCCTATGGCATGATGCGCAGGAGAACCATACAAGAACGAGGGGCGACAGCTACAGGCTCGAAGAGGACATGGGGAGTCGGGAACGCAGAGCAGGATAACAACGTGCGGGAAGCCGAACCATCAGCACGGCAACAGCAGAGGGAAGGTGACTGCAGGAGGAGAACAAGGACGAAAGCGGCGTCTAATTTGAATCCGCCGTGAGTACCCACTGCGCTGGGCCCCCCAGCAGGCCTCGAAAGTGGCGACAGTTTCACAAATCGCAGCCCCCCAGGGATGGCGAGGTTTAGTTTGAATCCGCCGTGGGTGCCCACTGTGCTGGGCCCCCCAGCAGGCCTCGAAAGTGGCGACAGTTTCACAGATCGCAGCCCCCCAGGGATGGCGAGGTCTAATTTGCCCCCAGCAGGCCTCGAAAGTGGCGACAGTTTCACAGATCGCAGCCCCCCAGGGATGGCGAGGTCCCATTTGAATCCGCCGTGGGTACCCACTGTGCTGGGCCCCCCAGCAGGCGTCGAAAGTGGCGACAGTTTCACAGATCGCAGCCCCCAGGGAGGTCCCATGTGAATCCGCCGTGGGTGCCCACTGTGCTGGGCCCCCCAGCAGGCGTCGAAAGTGGCGACAGTTTCACATATCGCAGCCCCCCAGCAACCCTCGAAACGCAGCGACGAGCGAGGTCAAAGGCAGGGGGGATGTGAGGGACGGGGGGGGTGGGAAGGTTCGCGCGAGCAGTGCTCAATTCAAAACGAGAACCCAACGCAGGAAGGTTGGGAATAACGGGTTATCAGCCGAAGCTCTCCAGGAACTCGTCTTCGGTGGCGCAGCCTTTTTCCCATCAGTCAAAGAGCTTCAGGCATGCCTGCGCGTGTTGCAGAGAGATTCCGGCATGCTTGCTGTGAAGTCGGCTCCGCCGTCCTGTGCTCCAGTCAGTGCTCTGGTCACGGGGGCGGGGGGTCAGACATTCAAGAAAAAAGGGGGCACTTGCGGCCAGTCCGCCAGGTGCCGGCGGTGTCACGAAAGAGGGGGCAGTTGTTCCCTCCCTTCTTCGAAGGCCAAAACAGCAGGTTCCAAGAATTTTGCTTGACATTTTCTGGCAACTTTGGTGTGTACGAAGGAGTCCCAAAGGAAACAGGGATGTCGTTCGTGACAGCGTCGGCCTGCCCCGTGTGGTTGGTTGTGGCAGGTCCTGAAAAGGATGGCCAACCACACGCCGAAACGCTGAGGGCGAACTGGACCAGGTGCACGAATAGTTGGGCATACTCAGTCCGACACCAAAGGAGCATCCCAAGACCAAGATAGTGCCGATTATATTGCACTTGTGTTGACATGCAATTGCTTTAAGAATCCTTCCAGTCAGAGTTGACATGATGTTGCACTTGTTGTGATATGACAGGCAAATAACGCGATGTGCTGACACATGATGTGAGGCGTGCGGAGGGAGGAGCGAAAAGTGTAGCGAGAAGCGGAGAGGAGGGCGGAGGAGGGATGACGGAGGAGGGATGACGGAGGAGGAGGAGGATAATGAGGAGGAGGAGGAGGAGGAGGAGGAGGAGGAGGAGGAGGAGGAGGAGGAGGAGGAGGCGCGAGGAGGGAGGCGCGAGGAAGGAGGATGCGAGAGAGAGGGAAGAGAGGGAAACACTCCTCTCGGAGGATGGGGGTGACAGGAGGAGTTTTTCTTTCGCTGCTGTGTCTCCTCCTCATCCTCTCTCCAACACCTCTTCCCCCCTCGGTGGTCATTTTTGTTCGAGTTAGAAACACATGCCCTCCCGGCTTACTCGGAGCCAAAGGCTGGCCCAAGGCGGCCTGCCGAAAACAACGTCAAGCGATCAGACGGCCTTCGATGGGAGCCGCCCCGAGCGCCGCTGGGGCGTTTCTCTTCTGCCATTCTATTCGCAGCCACATGCGCTGCCCACTCACATCATCAGTCATGCGTGTCATTCCTTGCCCAGCCAACTGCCGGTCAGTGCAACCAGTATAGTCACCAACTAGGCGCAACAGCAAGCTAACCAGTTGCACCAGTCGCGGTCATTTGCTACGATATTACCAGCTGGTTGTGTTCCATCCATCAGCCTGGGCCCAGGAATGGGGCTGCGCAATTCAAACCAGCAGCGGGACAGCCAACTCTGACACGTTCGAGGCTCGATTTGTCAGCAATGCGAGAACCAATGCCTTTTCACAGAGTGCGCGCGCACGAATTTTGTTATCTTCTTTTCTCCCAGACATCGCACCAATGCAAAGGCACATGGCGCGCCCTATCAACGCTGACCTACGACGTTGCTGCGCAACGGGTTCTGCACTACGGCATTATGGTTTCGCCGCAAGGCCGCAACTTTGACGAATTTGACCAAGAGGCTGCCAGGCATGAAGGGCGCAGGCAGGAGCAGGCAGAGAAATGCCAGCGTCGTAAAAACGCTCGTTCCGCCGATGAACGTGCCCCCTGCGGCGCCTGACAGGTGTGTTTCCTTGGCCAAAGAGCCTGTCAGCCAATCTGGCCCTCGTGCACAGCATCCCCGGACCCCCTTCCTCGTCGCTGGACGGCCCCAGAGGCTGGTTTCCTGAGGGTTTCGAGGGCCACCATGGGCCCGAACATAGTTTTCAAGGCGCCGAGCAAGCATCGATCCTCGATTATTCTCCCTTCCTCCTCCCCCCCTCGCCCTCCCCATCCCCCCTCCTCCCGCCCATCGCGTCGCCTCGCCTCGCCTCGCTTCCCTCGCCTGCCTTCCTCGCATTGCTCCCTCCCTCCCTCTCTCCCACCCTCCCTCCCCCATCCCCATCCTCCACTTCTCGCCCGCAGGACCTGGGCTTCCTCGACCCCGCCGCCATGCGCATGAGCAGCACGCTGCCCGGCAGGGGCGTGCCCGCGGGCGCGCGGGCCGGTGGGAAGGGGGGGGAAGGGCAAGGAAGGGGGGAGGGCAGGGGGGCAGGAGCAGGGATGAGGGATGGCCAGGCGATCGCAAACATGTATCCAGGGGGCATGGATTAGCGACGGGTCCCGTTTCCACGGGAAATCGCGGATTTCCGCCGCCGAACGAGGCGGCACGGGCCGCGTTTTGGGGAGGGCACCTCTCGCCCGAACCATGGATTTGGCGACCGCGCGCCTAATCCCTGGATCGCTAATCCATGTTTGCGCGCCCCCGATGGATGAGGGATGGTGGGGAGGAACGAAGGGTGGAGGGAAGGTGTACATCCAGGCGGCCTTCAGCGCTTGCGGCGAGATCCCGCCATGTCGGCCATGGGCCATGGCCGTGCCTTACCGGTCGGCCGGCGTGGTGGAAGCCCTAGAATGGATTTTGTCAGACGCGGGTTCAGCGGGCACCTGACTGAGGAGGTGGCGGCCTGCGTCCGTCGCAAGGGACACGTGCTCCTCTTCCGCGGTGGCGGCTGCGCCCCGTTCGCGCAGGTGAATGGTGCGAATCTCCGCGCCACGGTGCAGCGATTGATGGTCGAGTACGAGAACGAGTTGCGCAGGGTTGGGATCGGATGCCCGACGTAAGCAGGGAGGACATCATCCAGCTGGTCACAGAGGTCTGGTCCACCATCAAGCACAACGTATGCGCCGAGAAGGGGTACTTCCAAACTGGCCCCACCTTGCCCCTGACAGGCCCCGTGAAATACGACGATGCGTTCAAATATTCACGCGATGTCCTGGAAGCAATCGCCAAAGACGAAGGACGCGCGTTTGAGCCCAGATTCGTTGACATGGGCATCCGCGATGAGGCGGTCAGATTTGAGGACGAAAGGTGAAAAGGTGGTCGCTGGAGCGAATGGAATCAGCAAGCGATCGATGAGCTCGTTGAGGAGCACATTGGAATGGAGGAAGCTGGGAGAAGGCCAAGAGGCTTTCGGATTCCAGCGCGTGGAGGAAGACGAGGAGGAGGAGGACGAGGGGCCCAACGCAGACGATGACGAGGATGAGGATCTTGGTGGATCGGAATTGTTCGGCCCCGACGGAGGCGGCGGTGGGGGGACGCGACGCCGAGGGCTGCGGCGGCGCGGGAGCGGGCGATAGCGGCGGCGCAGGGGCAGGAGAGGGCGGCGCGGATGCGGCGGCGTTGCCCGGAGGCCATCAGCCAGGCGAGGCAGCGCCGTCGGCCGCGGGCGGCGGCTGCCCTTCAGGGGGCCGCAGTTTCGGCACTCCCTGAACCTGCTGACGGCGTGGCGACTCCTTTACGACGAGGCCGTCCGCATAGGGGGCAACGCGCTCCAGGGTCGCCTCCGCGCTCAGATGGGCCGCGAGAAGCGTAACGAGAAGGGCGCCAGGTCGGTGATCGGCATGTTGCTCAGGGAGCGGGCAGAGCAGGTGAAAGCTGAAGAGAACGAGCGTCGACGCAAGCAGAAGGAGAAGGATGACGATGAGACCCGGGATTTAGAGGATTGCAAAACCGGGCGAACGGAGAAAAAGAAGGCCGCCGCTGAGGCGAAGCCGGCGCTGCAGCGGGAAATGCTGGCATCCAAATTGCGCTTGGACTTTCTCAGACGAGCTGACGCTCGTCGCTTAGCGCACCAGCGATGGTTACAAGTGGAATACCCAGTGGAGCTGGCATGTCGTTGCGTAGCAATTATTCGGAAACTGCGTAGAGGCGCGCGGAACAACTTGCAGAGTCACATTGAGGCCTTGCTGGCGAACCGCTATTTCACTTCGCCCGTGCAAGTGTCGCATAAGTGGGAGTTTAAGCCCAACATTACCGCGGCGTGGTCGACCATCAAGCCACGCGATGGAAACGACCGCCGCGTGAATGTCAAACGCGGTCTTCCCTTCCAGCAACTTCTCGGTCCGAGGTTCCCGAGGCGTATCTTCGGAATGCCGCCTTAGTATTGCTTAGTTTGTCCAAGACGCGCGTGCGGAAGGCGGATCAGATTTTCATCGCTCCGCATCCCACCCCTCGGATATTCCACGCGAGCCGCTTCGTCATGGAGAGGGCCTTCATTCACGGCGCGATTTGCGTCTCCGAGTGGCTCGCGCAGGCGACCTATCTTGTCGGCGCGCTCGGTCGCTGGCCGCCCGAGCCGCCAGCGGACAAGACGCGGGCCCTGCGCCTCCTGGACCCGCGCCAGTGGCCGGCGCATGAAGGGCGCCAGCCCTGGGGTCGCGGGGGAAGGATGCCGGGGGGAGACAATCCAGGTGACGCGCCAGCTGCGCATAGGCTATCAGCCAAATGCCAGCTGACTCAGGTCGCCACCTTCGCCATCATCACCATCATCGACAGCCTCGTCATTTCCATCGTCGCCACCGTCGTAACCTTCACCATCGCCATCGGCATCGTCACCATCATCGCAATCATCGCCACCGTCGCCATCGCCACATTCGTCTCCGCCGTCGTCATCGCCATCATCGCCGCCGTCGTCACCTTCGCGCATCGCCATCGCGGTCGCCGCCGTCGCCGTCGCCGCCGTCATCGCCATGACCGCCATGAGGAAAAGGACGGCGGAACTATAGCACTATGAACTTGCATGCGCGCAGGCTCGTCGTGGGATCGCGCGCGACCATGGGCGCGCGTGCGCGCATGGTCAAATTTGGATGTTCTCTTCACACGCGCCGCGCCCAGGCCCGCGGCCGCGCGCGCGCGGCGGTCCGCGCGCTTGCCCGCGCGCCTGTGATCGCACGCGGCGGCGGGATTTCTTTCAGCAGCTCGGTGTGACTGACGTCATTTCTGAGTCCACGCCTGCGGTTCCCGCCGCCATGGAGCTGGCCAGCGGGATCCTGGGCCTCCCTCCCCAACTCCTCCTTGTCTGCGAGTCGGGCCCTGGGGCCGCCTCCTCTGTCTCCTGGTGCCCCTCGGGACCCCATGGTCCCAAATCTCGGGCTGCGCGCAGACGGCCTCCATGCCTTCCGTGACCTCGACCACAGGCCCATGCAGCAGGGCCGTGTCATTGTCTGCCAGAGCTGCGCGTGCTGCGCTCTCCTGCCCGACGGGACATGCAGAGGCCTCGCAAAGCGATGCCCAGGTCCGCCAGAGTGCAGAGCGAAGCGCGCAGCCCGTGCGAGAATCTTCAGCCTAGTGGAGATAGGCAAGCATCCCCGCACGGGGAGGAGCCTACGGCAGCCCCGACCCTCCACCGCCCCTGGACCTAGGGGCTCTGCACAGTCTGCCCCAAGCCAGGAAGTTTTCTCGGAGGAGACGCGTCGGGTGCTGGCTGCACGGTGCCTCGAGGAGGCCGCCTTGAGACATTCGGGGGCGGAGGCGTTGGACGGGGACTCGGGGGACGGGTCCGACTAAGCGAGCTGCTACTGCTGCTGCCTGCAATGTAGCTGCGGGTGTTGCCAGGCCGCCTTGCCTAGCACCACCTGCCACCGCTTGATGCGGCCCCTAATGTGCGATTTGCCGACTCTCGGCGCATGGCGCGCGTGTCGCAGGGCTTCCGCCATGCCCTCCCTCTTGAGGGGCCGGCCCACTCCCGCCCCTTGGTGAGTCTTCGCTTTCGGCCGCAACTATCGATTCGACTGCTGCTGCGCCGCTGGTGCTCTGGTACCCTCCTCCTCCTCCTCTTCCTCCTCATCCTCCTCCTTATCTTCGTCGTCCTCCTCCTCCTCCTCCTCCTCCTTCTCCTCCTCCTCCTCCTCCTCCTCCTCCTCCTCCTCCTCCCCCTCCCCCTCCCCCACCCCCTCCTCCTCCCCCTCCTCCCATTCCTCCTCCGCAGCAGCTGGCTTGCAGGCTGGCAGCTGAAGGGCATGTCGAAGCGGGAGTTGGGGCAGCTGCTGTCGCGCGTGGGGTGGGGTGTAGGGGGGGAGGGTCGGGGCACTCACGCTGCCCAGACCTCCAATTCAGGCGATCGCAAACATGGATCAAGGGGGCGTGGATTAGCGACGGGTCCTGTTTCCATGGGAAATCGCGGATTCCCGCCGCCGAGCGAGGCGGCACCGGTCGCATTTTGGGAGGCCCCCCCCCGATCCATGGATTTGGCGACCGCGCGCCAAACCCATGGATCGCGAATCCATTTTTACGCGCCCCCGACCAGTGTCTTGAAGAGCTGAAGATGGAGTGTATTCGGCATTTTCAGCCTCCAGGGCAGGTTTCGGGCCCGCGGACCATCACACGATCCTGGAGTGAGAATCTAGTCCTCGTGGGAACGGGTCTAGAGGTCCGGGGGCCGCGCATTCCGAAAACACGAATCGAGAGGTCTGGGCATCCAACTTAGAATTGCTCGTGGCTGGGCCAAGCCTGGCCCAGGATGGGCCTGGTCAGGATCGGTGCAGGTGGATAGTTGGCGTGCTCCAAGGGGCTGGGCAACGCTGCAGTCCACAATCTAGCTCGAATGGATTTCGAGTAGCTTGGCCGTATCGGTCATTCTGGTCTGTCCGAAGGGGATTAATCGTTTCGATTTCTTTTTAGAGATCGAAAAGGTTTTCAAACGCGTCGAGCAGCATAGCTTCGCAGGCTAGCCATGCATCCACCCCATTTGGGCGGGGCGCGGGGGGCTCCCCCCTGTTCCTCCTTCTCTCCCCGTCATGCTCCTCCTCACCTTTCCCGTCTGTGAGAAGTGCTCTCCTCCGTCCCCGGGTACTGTGCGAGCCGGGTGCCGCCTCTCCCGCATATGCTGCTGCTTCTTAGATTTAGGATGTCAGCAGTTGGACTGTCTTGCGGCTTTTCCAATCGGAACGTTTCTTCGGAGGCCCCAAGACGGTGTGGTGACCACGCCGTGTCGTGAGTCGGTGGGGATTCGGGGTCACCGGACGGTTTTGAGACTCGAGTCCCTCTCCGAGGATGTCTCGGGCGACAGGGGCCTTCAGGGTTCCAAGACCGTGCGGTGACGGACCGTGCGGTGAGGTCTTTTGTGGTTTTGATCCCCAATTTCTGTTTTTGTTACGCATGGTGGTGCCGCTGCAGCGTTGGCCTCGATTTGGGATCGGCGCTTTGCTCCGGTCGTTCTGCATGGCGCTCTCGCCGCAGCGCGGGCCACATTCCTAGATCCATCGCAAGACTCTTTCCGAGAGAAAGCATGGGCTGTCAGGTCGGGCCCGAAGCGGCTCCCCCTGTGGGCTGACAGGGTAAACCTTGCATGTCGCGCGTGCCGCGCGGCGTCCTGGCGGCTCTCTGGCCCTGGGGAGCTCCCAGGAGGTTTACGGACCACGCACTTGTGACCCAGGGTAGGGGCGTTTTTTTGCACCCCTCCACCAAAGGTTAGTATCCAGTGGCCCCCCCCCCCCGCGCGCGTGCATCCGAAGTTTTACCGTAAACCGTAAACATTGTTGCCCATCTTTGAGCGTTGGACTGGCAAGCGCCAGGGTCGCCCGCGCAGGCACGTCACGCTCCACTGCGTGGGCGGTGCCGGCTCCGACGGCCTCGCACCAAGCTTGCCGAGATAGTGGACACAAGGGTCGCAGGCCTAGAGATTGACACCAACACCAATCTCGGCGGTATCTTGGTGATGGTGGCAAGATTCTGGCTTCAGGGTGACCGAAATATTTCCACCAACACCGAAATCGAGGATCGTCTTCCCCCTGTGGAGTCACCCCCCCCGTGTTGGTGTTGGTGCCAATTTCCAGGCCTCCAAAAGGGTTCTAAGTCTTTCCTTGTTACCTCCAACCTTCAGGGGTGGCTGCGAGTCGAGCGCGAGAAACCTGGCCAGCACCCGCAGCGCACTCCGCTCCAGCTGCGGCGCGGGCGCACAGCCCGAGAGCAGCGTGGCCCCCGGGTGCACAGCTCCCGCTGCAGGCTCGGCGGCGGGGCACCTCAGGCTCCGACGGCTGGTCTGCGCCAGGCTGGCCCGCAAAGCCCGCAGCAGCCACAGGCTCCGTGAGCCTGGGCCTGACCTCAAGTCGGGCCTGTCCCTCTAAAGGAGGAATATTCAGAAATACTAGAAATAAGAGTCCGGGGACGATTTTCTTGTATTTTTTATTATTTTGTTGGAGATGTTTTGGATATTTTCAGTTTTTCCTCCAAAATCCGCCTGGAGGGGGACACGCCCGACCTGAGCCTGACCTCGAGCTCCCCGCCTCCTGCTGTCACCTGCACCGCCCTGGAGCGCCGCCGGAGCAGGGCTGGACCTAAACGCTGTTTTGCTTCGCTTCGGCTGTGTTTAGTTTTCCGTTTTGGCAGGGAGATGCAGGAAAACAGGTAGGGCAAACCGAACAACAAAACGACAACAAAACGAAAACCAACGTTTAGGTCCAACCCCGCGCCCGAGGGGACGCCAGCTCTTTCATTGCGTCGTCCTGCTGCTGCCGGCGATGCCGCCGCCCGCTGCTGAGCGCGGTGCCCCGCAGAAGAGCGCCAGGGGCCTCGAGGGGACTCCTCCTGTGGCAGACGACCTGCCAGCAGCTCCAGAAGTCTGCGTCATTGTCCTCCGCCTCGTCATCGTCCTAGTCGTCCTTGTCGCTTTGGTCGTCCGTCTCATCTTTCTCCGTATCCCTCTCCCTCGTTCTTCCCCCTCTTCCTCATATTGTGCTGCTCCGCTTCCCCTTCTCCTCCCCATCCCCCCTCGTCCTGCCTCCTGATCCTCCGCCTTCTCCTCGTCCTGGTCGTCGTCCTCATCCTTCTCGTCCTTTTTGCCATTCTGCTCTCGCTTCCTCTTCTCCGCCTCCTTCCGTTGTTTTCGTCCTCATTCTCCCCCGATGGTCGTTGCCTTTTTCGTTCTCGTGGTCAGACATTTTCGATATTGGCATGCCGCGCTTCAGTCAGCAGATGGACAATGCCCTGGGGCTGTGGTTGGAGTTGTCGCTGATCCACGGATCCTGTTGCAGTTTCGTTGGCTGGCTGTACATGGTTCGGTCGACTTTGCTCCAACCATTTCTTGGCGGTTCGGTGGTCCGCATCGCCTCCTGCAGTCGTCAAAGCGGGTAACCCGCGCATCGGAGCACGAGCCCTGGACTCGGCGTGCAAAGTGTGTGTGTGTGTGTGTGTGAAGGGTTGAATTCGGGTCATCGTGGGTTCACTGTAGCATTCGACCTTGGTGGCAACACATCTCCGAGCTCGACGTCCTCTTTCTCTGCCAGGCCCTGCGTTGTGCCTGGTTCTGCGGTTCGCGTCTTGGGCTTCACTTGTCCCACCAGTCCACCCAGAAACGATCGATAAGCGAGTAGTCTTCAGGGAAGTGTAGGAGCGTCCCGCGGAACAGGCCGGTGAGTCATTTGTCAAGCCGATGTTCGGAGTCAACATGAGCTTTCCAAGGAATTCAGTTGATACGCCCATCGCGTCGATGAAGGAGGAAACGCAGAAACGTGAGGGGGATAAGAGAGGGGAATGATATGGAGGTGGCAGGAGGACGACGAGGGGGTGAGGACTGTCAAGGCTGTCGTGACACGGACGACATATTACCATGTTCGTGTCCTAGCCATTGTTTCTTTCAAATGGGTCTGGGTTCTTTGCGTTTCCTCAACTGTTTCACGGCATGATGGGGCGTCGCGCGTGCCTCTCTGTTCCATCAAGCTGCATCTGCCCATCGCAAATGGGTCTCAGCTGGGACACCTGATCGGAAAAAATACCGCTCACATCTTTTTCCAATGTGTCAGGAAGCTCCTCACAATTGCGAGGCGCCCGTGTGTGTAAACAGCAACACGCTCGCTCACCTGAAGCTTCATACCCGATTCTCCGCCCATGGTGCCTCTCCCCTCGTGTGATGCCCCCTACTCCTCTCCCGCTGCCGCACTCCCCACGACCATGAAGTACGTACAGTCGAGTTTGATTAGTAGGTCGACCCTGCCCAAACAAGGATACCCGTGTGTCCTGTGTTTCGCGACCCATGCCCTCTGTTCCATTGGCAGTGTGGCCATCGGAAGGGTCTCGTGTCCTCTTGCGTGTCCTCTCCAATCCACCTGGACTGTACTGAACAAATATGCACGACCAAACTCGAACATTCTGGGGCATTGGAGGGAGGCATGGTGTATGTATGTAAGCGTGTATGTATGTATGCATGCTTGCATGCATGTATGTTTGTATTAAGGTATGTATATATGTATGTATGTGTATATTGATTGATGTATTTATGCATGCGTTTACGTGTGTATTTATGTATGTAAGTGTGTATATATGTATGTATGGTTGCATGTATGCATGTATGCATGCATGCATGTATGCATGCATGCATGCAAGTGTACGAGTATGCATGTATGCTGGTATGTATGTAGGTAGGTAGGTAGGTCGATAGGTATGTATGTATGCATGTATGCATGTATGTATGTATGTATGTATGTATGTATGTATGTATGTATGTATGTATATAGGTATGTATGCCTGTATGTATGCATGCATGCATGTATGTACGTACGTACGTATGTATGTATGTATGTATGTATGTATGTATGTATGTATGTATGTTGGTAGGCGTGTGGGTAGGTAGGTAGGTAGATATATATATATATATGTACGTGTGCATGTATGTGTATGTGTGTATGTATGTATGTATGTATGTACGTATGCATGCATGCATGCATGCATGCATGCATGTATGTATGTATGCATGTATGTATGTATGTATGTATGTATGTATGTATGTATGTGTGTATGTGTGTATGTTTGTTTACTCAAGCATGAGCACCCCTCCGAGGGAGAATTTGTTCAGAGTCGATTAATTGACGCCATCCCCGTTTTTTGGCCGTTTCGCGTGAGTCATCATCAGGATTCAGACGATCGATCGCCCCCTTCTCGCGGGTCGCGATGTCACGGATCAAACTCATAATGGATTTCCACCGTTTTGCTATGAAACGTTGAACCTCACCATGGGGTTCGATGATGTTGGACATCGCTCTTAGACACAACAAGCCGTTTTGCGTGAGACCTCCCCCGGGGGAGTTTGGGCAGGGACGCGGGGGAGCATGCAGAAGAACACAGGGCGGGAGAAGCCGTCATATACCCCAAGAGAAGGAGGATGGCGGAGGGATCGTCGTCGTTGGAGGGGGAGAAGCAGGCCCGGAAATGGACATCGGAAGTGGAAAGGCGAGATGCCCATCTAGAGACGTTGCCCACACGAGTTGCCCTGATCAGAGAAATGAGGAGCACATAGGGGAACCACGTGGTCGGGAAACCATCCTATTTCAAGAACGCGGATGATGGAAAACCAATGGAAGGAGCAGGAAGAGGAGGATACGGAGGATGAGGAGGATGAGGAGGAGGAGGAGGAGGAGGCGGAGGAAGTCGAGGAGGAGGAGGAGGCAGAAAGGCCAGAGGCCTCTCAGAGTCTCTTGGGATGTCTCTTGGGAGCTTCTTAGAGTCCTCTCGGGTTGTCTTGGGGGCCTCTTGGCGGTCCTGGGGGCCTCTTGGAACGTCTTGGGGTGCCTCGGGGGAGCCTCGTTGGGCTTGTTGGAGGCCTCTTTGAGGCATCCTCTTGGAGCCTCCTGGGCGCCTCTTTGAGCCATCTCGGAGGAGATCGATCAAAGAAGGGGAGGGCCGCAATTTGCGTTGCCCCTCGGGAGCCAGCAATTGCCTCTTGGGGCGCTGTTGGGGCGCACTTGGAGCGCTCTTGGGGCAGTATTGGGGCTCTCTTGGGCCACTCTTGGGGCCCTCTTAGACCATCTTGGAGCCATCTTGTGGTATCGGATGGCCATCGGAAGCGAAAAGGCGAGAAAACACAACACGATTGATGTTCCTTAGGTGTTGGACTGATTTTGGCTTCTTCGGGGCCTCCTTGGAGGTCTGGGCGGCCTCTTGGAGCCTCGTGGAGCTTTCTCGGGGCCTCTTGGAGCATCTTGGCAGCCATCTTGAGCCATCTTGCGCTATCTTGAACCATCTTGGAGACCATCTTGTGAACCATCTTGGGCTCTCCGAGGCCCTCTTGGAGCTGTCTTGTGCCATCTTGGACGCCCAAACGCGTCGCGAAACGCCCGTCCAGGTCCAGGGGGAGGAGGTAAGGGGATGGGTTGAGCTACCCATCCGCCCGCAAGCCGTTTAGCTCACTCCCACCCGCCCTCCCAACACATAAGTAACACCCGAGACTGAGCATGATCAGCGGTCGTCTTTGGATGGGCAGCTGCTGGGAACCAAAGCCGACCCCAGGTGCGCGACGCTTTTGCGAGGTGCGCGACGCGTGCGTGCCAGAGGCGCCACGCGCGCCAGGTACCCCTGGGGCCCGAGCGTGCAAGGCACGCCTGTGCGCCAGGTGCGCCACGTGCTCCGAGTGCGCCAGGTGTGCCGCACACTCCAGCCGCACCATGTGCGCCACGTTCGGGGCACGTGCAGAGAGCGTCAGGTGTGCCTGCGCACGTGACAGCACACATCGGGAAACATGTCGGCCCCGACCATCCTTGTCGAAAATTAATGCCCATCATTGTGTCTGATGGGCCTGCGCACAGGAGGCCACGCGCCACCACCCCCGCCGTCCCTGTCAACACCTACTTGACAGTGATCGCGGGATGGCCGCGCATGATCCAGATTTAGTCGCGAGTTGCATGTTGCATTGTTTTTTAATTGGGGATGGAAGCCCTGCGCACGACAGGAAATATATGCTGACACCCCCGCCGTCCCTGTCAAAAGCGGCCGCATTCGGTTGGCCGCGCATGCTCCAATTGGAGGCAGAGTGCGGTTTGTATTGTTTTTCGAGAGTGATGGTGTGGGGCGGACCCGCATGCAGTCGGCATGGTTCCGGGTTGGCCGCCGGCCGGGTGGGGGAGGGGATGTATATTAGTAAGGAACAATGCTAAACCCCTCCCCGAAGGGGAAAGAAGGGGGTTGGAAGAGGAAGCGCCCTAGACCACTTACGCCCAGAGGGCTGGTGGGATACATAAATCGAATGCTTGCTGATCGTGGTGATGGTGATGGCAATGGTGGATGATGATGGCGAGGGCGGTGACATTGATATGACAACATGTTGTCGACGACGGCGATGGTGATGATGGTGCCGTTGGTGATGGTAACAGACATGTTGGTGGTATGAGGATGCGCTGGCGATGATAAGGACGTTGCTGGTGAACAGGCCGAGGAAGTGCGTGCGCGCGGAAATCTAGACAACTTTTCCATTGAAGAACCGTTGGCTTTTTGCCTCTGTCTGGAAACGCTCAGGAAACCAACGGGGTTGCTTTGATTTCGACGTGCGCGCACGGCGACGCGCCTGTTGCCCACACGGTCTTCTTTGACAGAGGGAGATGGGGACGACGACCAGGACGACGGTGACGGCGACGAGGATGACGAGGACGACGAGGGCGACGGGGGCCGACGTGGACGAGGAGGCGACGGTTCTGGATGGATCTTGGCCTCTGTGGCCACTCGCAACAGTCTTCGGGGCGGGGGGTCTTGGGGCCTCTTGGAGGCATCGCGAAAGCTATCTTAAGCATCCTGCAGTATACTGCGCCATCTTGCAGGTCATACACAGGGCCATCTAGATCCAGAATGGAGACATCTCGGGCTAAAGATGACGACCTGACACTTCCCTGCCCCGCCCTTCCCCCCTCGTCCAGACCCGGGGGGCTGGTGAGGCGGAGGGGAAAGCTCGTTTCCCGAAGAGGGCTGAAGTAGGACCCGCTCTCGCCCACCTCTGCCCAGAGGGCTGGTGGGATGTCGCAAGGGGGCGGACACCAGTGCAGATGGGTGCAAGTTTGCGGTCCATATGGCACGCGTGATGATGACAGCAAGGAGGTGCCCGCGACACAAGAGGGAGCATCGCCGACGCGATATCCGCGGCAGAACGTCGTGGTCATTGTCACAGTGTCCACGACGTGTTGCCGCGAACGTCGGACATAGGCAGACAACTAGCACTGCCGCGCAGCTTCGGGCAAAGGCAAACAACTAAGTAGTAGGAGCAACCGTCTGGTCAGTATGTGCATTACGTCTCTGGAATGTTGACAGTGGTGGTATTGTTTTGTTATCCAGGTGTCTGCGGCAAATCCGACCACCGTGCTAACTCAGCCAGTTGGGTGGCAAAGCTTAGAGCACCGAAGGCCGGCCGACACATGTGGCACCTTTCGGGTTCACTTCTTGAGAAGCTCTCACGGGGTTCAGTAGCTTGGGCCTACGTTGGGTTCCCGTGTGGCAGTTTTGGGGGTCCTCTGGGGCCCTCGTGGACCATCTTTAGGCCCTCTTGGGCCGTCTTGGGGCTCTTAGACCGTCTTGGGGCCGACTTGGTTGCCTAGGAGGTCTGTTGGTTGCCCGTCGTGGGACCGTATTGGGACGCCGATGGGCCCTCCAATGCAGTCTTGGGTCCTTCCCTAGGCCATCTTGTGCCCTAGTTTGAAGCTCTCTTGGGGCATTCTGGGGGCCCTCTTGGGCTGTCTTGAGGCCGTCTTGGGTGATTACTGAGCCATTTCATTGTCATCTAGGAGGCCAACAGGGCAGCCTGGATCTGAAGGACGCCCGACAAGGTGAGGACGCCCATGTCTTTCAACACGCTGAGGTGCATCTCTGAGTTTGGCCTCTTCGGGCCCTATTGGGGGTCCTCTTGTGGCTCTCCGGGACTGTCTTGTGGGCCTCTTGGGCAGTCTTGATACTATCTTGGACAGCCCTGGGGCCATCTCGGGCCGCCGTCGCCGACTTTGAGAAATACTTGCGGTTTGGGGGCCTGCTTCGGTTGTATTTCAACCTCGGGAGCGTCCATTGTTGTTGTGCGAGGAATCGTGGCCTCGGGAGCACGGTCCGATTGTTTTGTTATTCGGAATCGTGGCGTCGGGACCCTGGCAATTATTTGACAACGGATCGTGGCATCGGGAATGGTGGCCCATTGTTTGTACGAGGGGGGGAGGTGGTGCGGTGCGTGCGATTGCATGGTAGAAGAGCGGTGGTGGGTTGGGGGTGGATTAGACTTGCGGTGGCGGATTCGGCTTGCGCACGGGCATGTACCATTCGTCAGTTTGGTCTTCCCGTCTCTGTTCGTCCGATTCCTAGCGATCTTCCTGCTCCACCTGCTCCTGCTCGTTCCAGATCCTGCCGCTATTGCTGCTATTCCCCTGCAGTCGCAGGGAAACAGTCGCAACGTCCTATCCAGCATCCCGTTCAGAATTCTGGGCCACCCTTTCGTCAGTCATCCAGCTATCGAGAAGCAGGGAGGTGTACAGCGAGTGGGAAGACGTCAGGCTAACATTCGAGGCCCCACCAGCAAGGACGCCGTCTTTCGCGTTCCCGTCAGCGCAATCCTGCCAGCAGCTCAGCAGTGGACTGCTCGCAGAACGCATGGGAGCTGAAGGGAAGGAGGGGGGAGGGATTGATGGAAGGTTGGGGCGGAATGGGAGCCGGGGGAGGGGGAGCGAGACCTGGTGAAGAGGACCAGGAGCGGGAGCAGGGACTAGCAACAGCGGTAGGCGGTAGGGGTAGTAGATAGGATTGAGGAGAGTGGAGGTGGGAGATAAATAAGCGGGTTGATGATGATAACAGTAATATTAACGACTGCAGTAATCATAACAATAACAATATTAGTACAGCATATATAATGCGAATGTTAATTCTGCTCCTGATGGTAATACTGAGCTGATGCTGATTATGACTGTGATTGTGATGCCAATGTTACTAATGTTGTTGGTGATGATGCTGATGATGAAGGTCAGGATATGAAGATGAAGATGGTGATAATGATGATGATGATGATGATGATTTTGATGGTTATGATGATGCTTATAACGGTGATGGTGATGACGATGATGATGATGATGATGATGATGATGATAATGATGATAATGATGATGATCATGCTGTTGTTGCTGGTGATGATGTTGATGGCGATGCCGATGGTGCTGATGAGGATGCTGATGATGATTATCATGGATATGATGACGATAAGGAGGGAGGAGGAGGCTGCTGCTGCTGATGATGACGAGGAGGAAGAGGATACAACTTGACACTCCGGAGTTATCGCCACGCTGGGGGCGGGAATTTGATGAGGCTGATGATTGACAGCATGCAGAGACGGGCTCGTATGAACATGATGGTGAAGGAAGGGGAAACATGGGGGAGGGGAACCATGCTAATGTGAATCATGCTCACTGGGAGGGTGATCTCTATGATGGTTCTTGTGATCGTGGTGATGATGAAGATGATGATGGTGTCGTTGTCGAAAGCGGCCTGGACGACTGATGATGATGGTGATGGGGATGCGGCTGATGATGGTCACGCCGCCGCCGATGCTGCTGATAAAGATGGTGGTGATGATGTTTTTGATGATGATGACGATACGGTGGTGATGGTGATGGTGATGGGTATGACGATGATGCTGATGGTAATGGTGATGATGATGAGGGTGATGATGATGATGCTTATTATGTTGATGATGATGACGATGAGGATGACGATGATGGCGATGACGATAATAATGAGAGGAATGATGATAATGATGACGATGATGCTCTTGATGGTACTGATGAGGATGATGACGACGAGTACGATGATGCTGATCAGGGTAGTCACGTTGTTGACGATGAGGACAAGGACTGATATGGTGGTCATGCTGCTGCTGGTGCTGATTGGCGATGTTGATAATGATGAGGATTATGATGATGATGCTGATGATGATGATGCTGCTGCTGATGATGATGATGCCGTTGCTGCTGCTGCTGCTTATGATGATGATGCTGATGCTGCTGATGATGCTGGTAATTATGATGATGATGATGGTGATGATGATGATGATGATGATGATGCTGATGCTGATGATGCTGATGCTGATACTGATGATGATGCTGCTGATGCTGATGCTGATGCAGTTAATGCTGCTGCTTATGATGATGCTGATGATGATGATGATGGTGATGGTGGTGATGATGATGACGATGACGATGATGATGATGATGATGATGATGATGATGATGATGATGATGATGATGATGATGATGATGATGATGATGATGATGATGATGATGATGATGATGATGATGATGATGATGATGATGATGATGATGATGATGATGATGATGATGATGATGATGATGATGATGATGATGATGATGATGATGATGATGATGATGATGATGATGATGATGATGATGATGATGATGATGATGATGATGATGATGATGATGATGATGATGATGATGATGATGATGATGATGATGATGATGATGCTGATGATGATGATGATGATGATGATGATGATGATGATGATGATGATGATGATGATGATGATGATGATGATGATGATGATGATGATGATGATGATGATGCTGATGATGATGATGATGATGATGATGATGATGATGATGATGATGAGGAGGTGGCTCTCCGCTCTCCCTTCTGCTCCGCCTTATGGTTCATTGTCCGCCTCCTCCTCCCTACTGTCCCGCCTCCTCTTTCTCCGCCTCGCGCCTCCTCCCTCCGCTTCTCCTCCCCAGTCCCCCTCCCTCCCTCCTCCCTCCTCCCTCCTCCCTCTCCTCCTCCTCCCCCCTCCTCCTCCCCTCGCTTCTCCCTCCTCCCTCCTCACTCCTCCCCTCCGCTTCTCCCTCCTCCCTCCCCGTCCTCCCCTCTCATTTCCCTTATCCTCATGTTGCTGCCGCTGCTACGGCGCTTCGGGGAGCCTCAGGGTTGACGGCCCTGGCCTCCTGTTGCTCCTGCTGCTCATCGGGGGCCAACCCTGAGAACCCCAGGGCGTCCATCGATCTTTGGTGTGGGAAAGTCACGCTTTCCACTGCAAACCATCGAAACCCAAGAAACCCGGGGCACCCTGGAGGCAAGCAGGGTGTTTCTTGGCATGGGCCCCCACTGCATCGCACCGTCCGCTCGCTTTCCACCGTGGCCAGGCGGAGCTTTGGCCCAGGACGGGCGCGCACGCCCTCCTGGCCAAGCCAGGAGGGGTGTGCCCGTCGCTCGCTGGAGGTGGGTATGTCTGGGTTCCCAGATTTCTGCGTTGGCCGTTTCAAGGGTCGAGCGGCTTTCCCTCTTCTCTCCTCTTCAGGGGGCTGGCGGAGGCACAGTCTCAGCCCCTTTTCTCAAGGCGATCGCAAACATGGATCAAGGGGGCGTGGATTAGCGATGGGTCCCGTTTCTATGGGAAACCGCGGAATTCCGCCGCCGAGCGAGGCGGCACCGGCCGCATTTTGGGGAGGGCGCCTCCCCCGATCCATGGATTCCGCGACAGCGCGCCGAATCCATGGATCGCCAATCCATGTTTGCGCGCCCCCGATTTCCTGTTTTTTTGCTTCTACCCACTTCTTCCGAACGTTTACTTCCGAGCTTTGCAATTGAGACACTGTCGACTACGATCCAGATGAAGGCTGTTTGGCGCGGCCGCGCCGTCCACATTCCTGTATGGGAGCGGCGCCTGGGCGCTCACTGCGGCGCGAGAACAGAGTCCCAGTGCAGCAATGCGAAAGGCGCCTGCCCTGCTGAGCCAGGAGGGCATATATATATATATATATATATATATGGTAGGGTCGTGTCGCGTCGACGCGCCGGCGACCCCAGCGCCAGCATTCGAGGTGGAACGCCGCCAATTGGCCGGCGGCGACGCTAGGGGCGAATATCACCACTCACCAAACCACCCCAGCCCAACCCGAAGGCCTCAATTTGCCCTCCATTTCCAGTGGGGGGTGGGGTCGGGGAACATTGAAAAAACACCTAGAACCCGTACCCCCCCCCAACCCGAAATTCGGGTCAAATTCGGGTCTTCGGATTGCGTTGGGGTGGTTTGGTAAGTAGTCAGAACAGCTCAGGGGCGGGCATCACGCGCATTCGTCCAGGAGCCTTTTTTCGAAGACATCGATCATCGGCGCACCTGAATACGTGTATTACTCAGAGGAGGAAAAGGTACCCATACCTCTACCCTGCCCCCGTTTTCCCCTTTTTGGGGCTCGGAGGCCCTCGTCGCCACTGCTGTATTCGCCTCGAACATCCTGGTCAGAACGAACCCCGGGAGAGGTCCAGGGAGTGGCGGTATCGGTACTTGTCGGTGACCCCAAGATCATCGGCGCACCTGACTACATGTGTTGCTCTCCCCAGGGCTATTCGCCCCTGTCGTCGCCTCTGAAGTGGCCCCAGGGTCCGCCGACATCGAGCGAGATCGTTGCGGTCGGAGGCCCGCGATCGCTCGGGGCTGGACGACCCGCGCTGTGTCGGAGACCAGCCCGCGGGTCGCCGCGACGCGGGCCCGCCATGTGCGCCTGCCTGGCCGAGCCAGCAGGGCGCAGGCTCCGATGCCTGGCCCAGGAGGGGGCCTTCCCCGGGACCCACCACCACCGCGCAGCCGAGCGTCCCGAGGGACGCGTGGGCAGGAGAGCGCACGACGTGGGGCAGAGGGATCAGGGCGCTTCAGGCGAGGACCAGAGTGGCCTCGGGAAGTGCTCTGCTGTTCGGGCCGTCGTTCAGGTCCAGCAGGAAAGTCCCTTCGTTCAGCAGCCAGCTGGCGTTTCGTACGGTACGGTAGGTTCGTGTCGTGCCGACCGGCGGCGACCCCGCCAGCGGCGTTCAACGTTGAACGCCGCGGGCGACCCAGAACCGTTCGATGTGAAACGATTTGGACGTTTCGTAAACGGCCAATCGTTTACGGTTGAAAGATCTCCGCGGTGTCCGAAACCAACGCCGAAGTCGGCACGACACGAACCTGACGTGGCACGGCGGCTGTGCGTGTACTGTCGGCGCCCTCCGAGCCGCCGCCCCCGAGGGTCGAGGCGGAGGGCCTCTCCCCGCGCTCCCGCGACGGGGCGCGCCTGATCATCGCGGCGCAGCTGGGCGACAGGGCCGCCCCGCGAGCACCTTCCGCCCTTTCGCCCAGCTTCCTCGAACTCTCCGGGAGGAGGGGGAGCAGGAGGAGGAGGAGGAGGACCAGGGCCAACCCAGGAGTCATCAACGATGTTGGACTAAGCTCTCCCTCCAGGCCCCCTCGCCATAAGTCCCACACAAGGGTTCATTTCCATTGAGAGAACTGCCTCGTTGAAGACCTCGAAGCATGCCAAAACAATAGTTCCGGGACTCCAACGCCACGGATCAACTTGGTTGTTGCGTCTGAACGATCCTGAATCATGCTGGAACGCAACTCCTGGGACTTCCACACGGCAAATCAACGTGTCTGTTGCACCCTCATAATCTTGAATATTTCCAGAACTTTCTGCTGGTACGTTGACTATGGGAGTCCGTGAAACTCTTGCACTCGTTTAAAAACGAATGTGCGCGGTGCTAAGGCGAGAGCCACACTCTGAAAACGAACCGCCCTCTATCCGCGATGCTCTTGCAATTGTTTCAAAACGAGTGTGCGCGGTGCAAAGGCGTGAGCCACATTTTTGAAAACCACCCGCCCTCAATTCGTGAAACTCTTGCAAATGTTTAAGACGAATGTGCGCGGCGGAAAGTCGAGAGCCTGATTTTGAACACGACCCTCCTTCCATCTGCGAAGCTCTTCTTAACCTTTAAAAAACGAATGTAGGCGGCGGTAAGGCGAGAGCAACATGTTGAAAACGAGCCACACTCAATCCGTGAAACTCTTGCAAATATTTTAAACGAATGTGCGCGGCGCTACGGCGAGAACCACATTTTGAAAACGACCCGCCCTCCATCTGTGAAACAGTTGCTAGTATGTAAACTTCAGGGTCATAAGTGGTGAGGAATCTCAGGCGAAACGCCCGGCCCGCCCTTTCGACCGGCCTCGGCGTGCGACAGGGAGAAGGTTTTTATAGGAGATTGAATGGATGAGGAGCAGGAGGAGGAGGAGAGAGCTCGAGGAGTATGTGGCTCGAGGAGGACGAAGAGGTGGAGTAAGAGGAGGAGGAGGAGGAAGAGGAGGAGGAGGAGGAGGAGGCTCGAGGAGGAGGAGGAGGTGGAGAACGACGAGGCTCCGGAAATAGCACGAGGGTATTCGAGGAAGCTCGAGGAGGAGGAGGAGGACGAGGCTCAAAGAGGAGGATGATGAGGTGGAGGAGGACGAGGGGGCCCGCAGACACCTTCTGCTGTTTCGGCTCGCCCGCTCTGCCGCCAGCTCTCCATCCTCCGTCCTCGCCCTTGCCCTGCTCGCCTGCTTAGGCGGCGCGCAGAGGGGAGCAGGGGAAGGGGGGAAGGCTTCTTAGAAGCACCCCTGCTTCTTAGAAGGCGCGGGCCCTCTCTACAGATGTAAGGCCGGCGCCTTCTAAGAAGCAGCCTCCTTCCAAGAAGCCTTCCCCCCTCCCCCTACCCCACTCTGCGCGTGGCCAACTGCTTGCTGGTCATCCTCCCTCCCTTTGCTGCCTGCCCGCCTGACCGCCTGCTTCGTGTCGCCAGCTCTGGCCTCCTTCAGCTCTAGTTACGGCATTGCGTCCTCTCGAATGTATCACCGGCTGACGTAGGTCGTGGTAATGAGTGAGCGCGCATTCTTAGAACATCTTATTGAGAAAGCTGTGATTTACCAAAGCGAGAAAGGGATGTATCAATTTGCGCCGCCGAATCAAAACAAGGCAGCACATTTTTCAGTAAACGCAGAAGCCTGTTTATTACATTCACTAAATGCAGGGCCGTTTTTCTGAATCCCATATCCTATCATTACCATGACCATCCAGAGCGTGTTTGTTGCCCATGTTGCACTGCCTAGACAGCTTAGCTCAGACTTCGCATACAAGATTGCCCACTGTGCGGAATTCAGATGTGGTAGCCCCGAGCACATACACAAACTTGCGCACCCCTGTTTTCACGCTCCAAGTTTGAACGCGTCCTGCAGACATGTATTTCCACACAATAGCGTACCGGCTAGCATACGCAAGTTCTTCACGGCCCATGATTGTGGTTTTTCCCTTTGTTTGGTTGGGAGGGGCGGCGGGAACATTCTTTCAAAACCAATGGTAGGAGGTCGAGGGGATCTTCTGTGCAGATCGGACAACCCCTTGTATACGCGGGGGGACGTCCAGACCCAGGAGAGTGGGGAGGGGGAGGGGCAAACCCCTCCCCGGAAAGGGGATGAAGGGGTCGTGGAAGTGGGATGGGGAAACACGTTATACCACCGTCATTCAGAGCGATGATGGGGTTCTGCTGTCAAGAGGGGGAGTCGTGCACCCGAAAGAGGAAACAGTGGTGAACCTTCTCAACTCCAAGGTGGACGTGGACATCAGAGTGAAGGACTTCTTGTCCGCCCAGTGGCTGCGCTCTTCGCTGGCCCTCTCCGTGGCTTTGGCAATCGCCCAGTGTCAGCGTCGCGCTGCCGCGCCAATGCCCCCCCTGTCAATATCGCCAGCTTTTTTTTGACGGTTGCCCACTGGCTGCTCAAAAGAGCGCCCGCAATCACAAGTAAGACCTTCTGCGACTGCCGCTGCCGCTGCCGCTGCCGCCGCTGCGCCTATCGTCGCCGCGCTTGCGGCTGCCGCTGTGGCGGGGCTGTCTTGGAGCTGTCCTGGGCCTTCTCGGGAGCTCATTGGGACTCTCGGGACCCTCTTGAACCTCCGAGGCCTTCACGGCGACATATTGGATTGAGCATTTTGGGAGGCCGACGGCAAATGTGTATTTCCCATCTCCACAGGATGGGGTTCTTGTTATTCCCTCTATCTAAATAACGGGGTCCTTATGTTCATCAGACCGCGCCAACTCCTTCACTCGTCCCTCCTGCTATTCCTTCTCTCATAATGTGATGTTCTTGCATGGCAGGTTATGTAATGTCATACTATGGTGTGGTATGTTATGTTGTGATATGATATGGTATGGTATGTCATCCCCCCATACCCCATATCTTCACATGGGGCTCTTGTTCCCCATATCCAAAGGATGGGGTTCCTCTTAGTGTTCTGACCGCGCCGATTCCTTCCTCACACCTCCTCCTATCCTGCTTCTCTTCTCATCCCACTCTGATCATGATGATGATGGTTATGATGCTGATGGACGGTGGTGGGAATACTGATAATGATGATGGTACCGATGATGCTGATGATGCTGATGCTGATGATGATGACGATGCTGCTGCTGATACTGATGATGGTGATGGTGATGATGGTGGTGATGATGATGATGATGATGCTGGTGCTGTTGCTGATACTGCTGATGATGCGGATGTTGATGCTGATGTGTATGTTGATGATGATGTTGAGTGTGATGCTGATGCGGATGATGTTGGTGATGATGGTGATGATGGTGCTGATGCTGATGCTGCTGCTGCTGATGATGATGCTGATGGTGATGAGGTTGGTGATGACGATGATGTTGATAATGCTGATGATGAGTATGATGATGATGCTGATGATGCTGGTGCTGCTTATGATGATGGTGATGATATTGATGATGCTGATGGCGGAACAACTTCTGATGATGCCTCGGGCGAGGCGCAGGTTTCAGCAACCCTAAGGGAGAGCCGCCAGGGGGTATTGCACGGCTTCCGTTCGCGCCAACATGGCGGGGATGTCTCGAGCGGTGTGCTTGTTTATCAGCTCATCATCCTCTGCTTTCGGAGCAGAGTTGGAGGATGTCTCGAGCGAGGCGCGGGTTTCAGCACCCCCAAGGGGGAGCCGCCATGGGGTATTGAATGCCTCCGTGCGCGCTGAAATGGCGGGGATGTCTCGAGCGGTTTGCTTATTTACCAGCTTGACGTCTTCCGCTTTCGGAGCAGATTTGGAGGACATCGAGCGAGGCAGCCAGTTTCGCCCCAACGGGGGAGGCAGGTGTTGAGCATGTCTCGAGCGGTTCGCCCATGTTGTTGGGCACGGATTCTCTTCAGGATGCCACAGGGGGTTCCAGGAGGCAACAGGAGGCCACAGGAAGCGCCAGGAGGCCCACGAGTCCTCAGGAGCAGGATGCCTCAGAAGGTCGCAGGAGTGGCTCACACATCAGGTGTTGCGCGTATGCTCCTATACATTGTGCCTTCCCTGGGGCACGAATCCGTTGTGTGTGACGTATGCTTCTATAGATTTTGCCTTCCTTGGGGTACGAGTTCTTGGGGCTTCCTGTGGCCTCAGGAGGCCACAGGAAGCCCCAAGAGGCAACATGAGGCCTCAAGAGGCTCCAGGAGGCCCCACGAAGCACCAGGAGGTTTCAGGAGGCCCCAGGAGGCCCCATGCGGCCCCAAACTCATGCGCAGAGACGCGCTCGTACTACTGAGAGTCATTCGCACCCCAACTCGTTCGCAGTTAGATTCACTCCCAGACCTTCAATATTTAAGCCCGTGCATCTTCAAGACCTCTTGCGCCTAGACACTCACGGCGGACAGGTCCATGCTAACATATGCACATACGGGGAGCTCCACGCAGTGAGCAAGCATTATTTTGACTGCGCGGACCTCATCATTCCTCCTCCTCTCCTCCTTCCCTCCTCCTCTCGTCCCCATCCTACTCAGAGTATGCTGATTGCACGCAGGGCGTGCTGGTGCTGGGTGACGACAATAAGAGTATGGTGATGACGATGATGATGGCTTGCTTGTTTTTGCTTGTTTACTAGCTCAACATCCTCCGCTTTCGGAGCAGATGTGGATGATGCCTCTCGAGTGAGGCGCTCATTTTCGCTACCAAGTGGGGCCAGATTTTGAGGACGTCTCGATTGCGTTGTCTGTGTTGGTCGCCAGGCTCGGGGATGTCGCGAGCGAAGCGCTGGTTTCAGCACCCTCACGGGGGAGCCGCCAGGGGGTATTGGAATTTCCCCGTTCGCGCCAGATTGGCGGGAATGTTTCGAGCGGTGTGCCGAATGCTGAGGGTGGGGTCAGATATTGAGGATGTCTCGATCGGTGTGCCGAGTTTTGTGGCCAGACACGAGGGTGTCTCGAGCGAGACGCAGGTTTCAGCACCCCCAAGGGGCAGCCGCCAGAGTGCATTCCATGCGTGAGTTCGCGCCACATTGGCGGGGATGTCTCGAGCGGTTTGCATGTTTACCAGCTCAACATCAGCCGTGTCTGAGCAGATTTGGAGGATTTCTCGACCGAGGCGTTCAGTTTCGCCACCTAAGCGGGGCCAAAGTTCGAGGATGTCTCCATCTGTTTGCGTGGTTTGGTGGCCAGACTCAGGACGCGCCAGGGGGACTCAGGAGGCCCCAGAAGGCGCCGGGAGGCCCCAACAGGCCTCAAGAGGCGACAGGAGCAGGCGGCCACAGGATTGGCTCCAATTTCATGCGTTGTACGTATGCTCCTACAGACTGTGCCTCCTCTGGAGCACGAGCCCTTAGTGTTTTACATATGTCTCTATACATTGTCCTTCTCATGTGTATCCACTCCTGAGTGCCTTACGCATCATCCTACAGATTAGGCATCCCCTGGGGCACGATTCTTTGGTGTTTTACGGGTATTCCTATACATTGGCCGTCTCTTGCGGCTCCAATCCGCAGTGTTCCATGTACGCATGGTCCTATAGATTAGGCCTCTTGGGGCACGAATCCTCCCCAGGAGGTTTAATGAAGCCCCAAGAGGCCCCAGGAGGCCGCACAAGGCCCCAGGACGCCCCTTGAGGTTTCAGGAGGCACCAGGAGGCACCAGGTTCGTGAACAAAGACGTACTCATATCATCGATATCCATTCGCACTCCAACTTATCCACAGTTAGATTGACTACCAGACCGTCAATACTGAAGCTCGCTTATATAAGAAAAAAAACGCTTACGCCTAGACACTCACGGTGGACAGGTCCATGCTAATAGGCGCACGTATGGGGAGCTCCACGCAGTGAATACGTATTACTCTGGCCGCGCCGAGGCGGCCCACTCACCTCCCCCCTCCTTTTCCTCACCCAGAGTCACACCCAGATGGTATGTTATATTATGCTATGGTATGTTATGGTATGGCATGGTATGGCACGCGATGTGCGATGGTATGATACTGTATGTTATGTTTTGGTATGGTCTGCTGTGGTATGGTATGCTATGGTATGACATGCTGTGTTATGGTATTACATACTATGGTCCGATTGCGACTGTGATGTTGATGATGCTGCTGATAATGATGATGGCGATGATAATGGTGATGGTGCTGCTGATGGTTTTTGGCTCGAACCCAAGATCAAGCGCTTGCATGCTCTTGGGTTCTCCCCAGGGCTCTAGAGAGTTGGGCAAAAACAGCAGGTGGTGCCAGGCAGCGCCAGTGGTTTCTCTAGAGTGTTCTGGAAGGCTCTAGAATGCGTGTTCTAGAGTTCTGTAGTGGTTTCTAGAGTGCTTTGTAGGCGGCTCTAGAGAGCATTTGGGGTTCTAAGTGCCCTGTAGGCGGCTCTAGAAAGCATTTGAAAGATCAGGACGGTGCGGGTGCTCTTGAGGGCCTTATGAGAGCACCACAATCGTTTTGAAAGTCCAGAGGTTGCAAGGCGGCTCTAGCGGGGTTCCAGAATGACCAAGAACACTTTAGAGGATTGTGGACTGTTCTAGGAGGACTTGGACGGATTCAGAAGGCAATCGAGTGCGCTCGATGGCTCTAGGTGGTTCGAGCAGGCTTTGTAGAGTTCGAGTTCGAACGCTTTAGAATCTTCCTTGCAGCATTCTAGACGGCTCTCGAAGGGTTGAGAGAATGCGTTCGGGGGGCTTCAGAGGGCCAGAGGGCTCTAGTGGATCGAGGGTGCTCTGGAAGGCTGGAGAGGACCCTGGACGCCTCGCTCAGGAGGCTCGGGAATGCTCCATCGACTTACAGAAAGTTTCGGAGCGCTCTAGCGTGTTCTAGGATGCCGTGGCGGGGCCCCAGGGTGCTCCAGTAGATGGCTCTAGAGGGCCCCAACAGATATGAGAATGTTGTCGGGGGCTCTAGAGGCCTTCGGGATGATCTCATGAATGGTCGAGTGCTGTCGAGCGCTCTGGACGTCACCGCAATGCTTTCGAAAGTCTACAGGGCTCTAGACCGCTCAAGGGATTCTAGAATGATCCAGAAGGTTCCAATGGAATCTGGACTGCTCTGGAGGGCTCTACGCTGATCTAGAGGGCATCCGAGTGCTCTCGAGGGCTCCAGGCTGGCTCTAGAAGGCTTTCAAGGGTTCTAGTATGCTCCAGATGGCTCTAGAAATCTCTTGAAGCTTCTCGCGCGGCCCACCGAGCTCTTCAATGCTCTACAGTGCGGGGGCATTTCGAGAGCAGTTCCACTGCGGCGAGCCTCTTTTCTGAGGTGGGCCCTCTGTCGGGCCTCTGAGAAGAGCCTCCCTCTCTGTCCCGGAGCCCAGGAGGTTCGAGAATTCTGTAGGGGGTTCTGGAGAGCTTTAGGACGATCAGGAAGGCTCCTGTGCCCTTGAGGGCCCTTAGAGGGCACCACGATAATTTCAAAGTCTGGAGGTTTCTAGACAGGGGGCTCCTAGAATGTTGAGGACGGCTCTAGGGGATTGTAAAATGCTGTAGAATGCCTTGGACGGATCTAGAGGACACTTGAGTGCCCTCGATGATTCGAAGTGGATCTAGAAGGCTTCGAAGAGAGCAAACGTCTTCTAAAGAGGATTCACTAACGAATTGGAAACAGCTTTAGGAGGGTATCAGAGGGTTCTAATGCATTCCAGAGTGCTTACGGAGGCTAGAGAGGGCCCTTAGAACATTCGCGCCGACACCAGACATACGCAAACGACGTACCGCTATCCAGGAAACGAAACACAAAAACGCAGGGGGTGGTTCGGGCCTGAACCCTGCTGATGCTGCTGCTGTTGATGATGATGATGATGACGATTATGCTGATGATGATGATGATGGTGGTGGTGGTGGTGGTGATGCTGGTGCTGATGCCGCTGGTGCTGATGCCAGTGTTGCTGCTGCTCATGATGATGAGATGATGATGGTGATGGTGATGATGATGATGATGATGATGATGATGATGATGATGATGATGATGATGATGATGATGATGATGATGATGATGGTGATGATTGATGATGATGATGATGATGATGATGATGATGATGATGCTGATGATGATGATGATGATGGTGGTGGTGGTGGTGGTGGTGTGTGATGATGATGATGATGATGATGATGATGGCGGAGCAGAGTTGGATGATGTCTCGAGCGAGGCGCGGGTTTCAGCACACCCACGGGGGAGCCGCCAGGGGGTTTAGCTTTCCTCCGTTTGCGCCACAATGGTGGGGGGGGGGGTATCGAGCGGTTTGCCCGTTTTGGTTCCCAGCATCCTCCGCTGTAGGAGCAGATTCTGAGGATGTCCCGAGCGAGGCGCTTGTTTTCGCCCCCAAAGGGGAGCCGCTAGGGGGTATTGCACTCTTCCGTTCGCGCCAAAACTGGCGGGGTTATGCTATGATGTGTGATGGTATGTTATGCTATGCTATGCTATGTTATGTTAGTGTAATGTATGATGATCATGGTGGTGGTGATGATGATGGTGTTGTTGATGATGATGATGATGATGATGATGATGATGATGATGATGATGATGATGATGATGATGATGATGGCTGAGCAGATTCTGAGGATGTCTCGAGCGAGGCGCGGGTTTCAGCACCCCCAAGGTGGAGCCGCCAGGGGGGTATTGCACTCCTCCGCTCGCGCGAAATAGCGGGGAGCGACTTGCGTGTTTCACCACCCAGCATCATCTGCTTTCGGATCAGAGTTTGAGGATGTCTCGAGCGAGGCGCGGGCTTATGCTCCCCCGAGGGAGGGCCGCCAGAGGGTATTGCATTCCTCCGGTCGCGCCACAATGGCGGGGATGTCTCGAGCGGTTTGCCTGTTGCACCACCCGACATCATCCGCCTTCGGAGTAGATTTTGAAGATGTCTCGAGCGAGGCGCTGGTGTTCGCACCCCAGGGGGGCCAGATGTTGAGGATGTCTCGAGCGGTTTGCTTGTTTCTTGGTGGCCACATTCGTTTGCGGCCAAAATCGACTGTGAGGATGTATCGGGTGAGGCGTTGGTTTCAACACCCCAAGGGGCCCAGAGTGTCTCTCCTTGCCCACTCCCCCTACGTCGTGTGCGCTTGTTGCCAGCTATGTGACAGACATTGTATATTCCGTTTCTGTACGTAGCCGTTCCGGCTTTAGCCAGCATGTTCATTACAGGTGCTCTCGAGTGAGGGAGTCTGAAACATATCATCGTATCGGTCGCACGATGTCTCGCGATGCTGACAGTGGTAAGCGGAGCGTGGTTAGTGAAGATCCTCGTGAAGGTATGGTGTTAGATCTCTCCCGCTCCAGGGCACCCAGCAGGACGGCTGGCACGTGCAGGGAACCCGGCTCCAGAACCACCTCGGGAAGATCAGATTCAGGTGCGTCAGATCCGTGGTTTCACGGCTTTGGCCCTTGGCAATCAGGTCGTGGAACGTTCGTGGAGACCAGCCCAGAAGGCGACAAGCCTCCAGACCCACCCGCGGAAGCTCCAGCGAGCTCCGGGGCTGCAGGGTCGGGCGGCAACCATCCAGACGCGGGCCAGCACGACGACAAGCCCGACGACAAGCCCGACGCCCAGGACTGGTGGAGTTCCGGGGCATGGGCTGGACAGCCAAAATTGTGTGGGAGTGGTCGCCTGGTTGGTGGCAGAGCTCCAAGACAGAAGAGGACGTGGCCTCTTGGAAATCCGAGGACTGGAAGAAGGTCGAGTGGAAGGACAACGCCTCCGACCTCAGTAGGCCCAAGGACGAGCCAGGACGTGATGAAGACGGCCGATATCGTGATGGCCGAGGTGGTAGCAGCTCGTGGTGGTCCAGGTCGTGGAACGCAAGTTCTTGGGAAGAGGAGAAGTCCAGGGACTATTCAGCCCCGCCGACCTGGCCCGGCATGCAGCACTTAGACATATACATTCACAACATGCGGGCATGGACGCGCAGGACGGCATTGAAGACCAGTCTGCAAGCTGATCGAGTGCTTGAGACATTCCCTCTCGAGCTCCAGGCCAACTTTAATACCATCAGATTATCTCTCGCCACGGAGTCTGGACTCGACAAGTTAGTGGATCACTTGACTTTGGTGTCAGGAGAGAGACCCGGCGACAAGGATCGGCAGATGCAAAACGAAGCACTATTCGACTATGTTATCAAGAAGGGCGAAAGCCTGACTGATTACGTGATAAGACGCGACGGACAAATGCTGCAGGCAGAAAGTGCGGGTCTCACTCTCGCAGACTCCATCAAGGCTCGCTATTACGAAGAAGGAGCAACGCTTCCTCACAGCATCGAATCAATCTTGCAACACTGGCTTCTGGAAAGAAGGATTTCTTATCTATACGATCTGCTCTTCTCAATCTGGACGTTTCGAACGGTCAGGCTGTGCTTCCGACAGCGGCCACCTCGTCCAGGCCTCCAGGAAGGACATTTATGCAGGAACAAGAGGAAGAGACGACGTTCGCGGCGGAGGACGACACCGTCGGGGATCTCTTCGAGACCGAGTTTAGTGAGTCCGAGGCGGACGGCTTTCTGATAGCGTTAGATCAGCAGAACCTCACAGAGGATGAAGCCTATCATGTCTTTGCCCAACTCGTGGAGACCAGGCGTAAGCGCACCTGGAAAGAATCGAAGGACTGGAAGAATGCTCGTCGCATAGATCTAAACTTATTCGACAGAGGCCGTGGCAAGAAAATTTGCAAAAGTGAATTAAAGAAAAGATCCAGGTGCACGAACTGCGGGCAGGAGGGCCATTGGACAGAGGACTGCCGTAACGCTTACACGTCAAAGGAGGATAGACTCAAGGAGGAGAGCAATCCGCAGTCGAAGCCGGACAAGACCAACAGTTTCTAGTTCAACGCGCGCGGTTTCGACGGCCCCACCTGCCTCGCAGTGACCGAGGAGCAGTACCAGACGTGCGCCGATGATCTGGTCGGCGGCGCGTGGCTGCCCGGCGACGCCGAGCAGCTCGAGCTCGTCCTGGCCGAGGTCTCGCGGGAGCTGACCTTGGACAACCTGATGGATTGCGCTCTCGTGGACACTGCTGCGGGATCAGCTTTGGTGGGGGAGCCGAATCTCGAGAAGCTCAGTAAGGCGCTGAACCGCATCGGCTACGAAGGTCACGTGTCCTACGACGTGGCTGATCTTCCTCCGGCCTGCGGAGTTGGAGGCAAAGTCAAGCCGGTGGGGCGAGCTTCGGTGCCTGTCACGATGTGCGGATGTGGGGTGGTGGAATTTCTTATATTACCACACGCATGCCCACGCCTCTTGCCCGCCAAGTTTTTAGAGTTTCTCAAGGCCAAGGTAGACATGAGCATGGGCGCGATGTCGGCCGGGGCCGGCGATGGTCGTCGATAACTGGAGCTGCGTCGCCGGCCATCAGGGCATCGTGCAGTATCTCTGGCGGGCTGCCCGCCCGAGGATTTCAAGCTCAGCGACGACCTCGCCGAGCGCTTCCCGCCCTTCGTCGTTCAGGGCCGTAGGGAGGGACAGGGCGCTGTTTTCGCTAATCAGATCTCCTCGCTCCCTCCGTCTCTCTCTATGTCTCGACAGCGGGTCCACGGTTCGAGGGCCCTAGATGGGGCATCACCGCCATTACCTTTAGCTACTCTAGGCTCGAGCCGGGCTGGCGACTCAGAGAGCCAGCCCTCGAGTCTACTCAGTCAGTCAGATTATTCTCAGAGTCAGGCAATCGATGCCGGCTCGGGCGATCAGGAAGGCGAACTCGACGGTGCATCCGCTACGTCGAGGACCTCGCTCACGTGCTGTCGGCTCTGCGGCGCCGGGCGAGCAGGGTGGTGAACGGCCTCTCTCAGGTCGAGGAGGAGGGCAGCTCGGATCTCGAGATGGCCGAGAACTGGGGGGAGATACCAGACCCGTGGCGCGACGCGGAGCTCCAGCATCTGGTGCACGACGAGATGCTCGATCCTGTGGACAAGGAGATGTTCTTCGAGGGCCGCTACATCATCGAGGAGGCTGCCATGGCCTGGCGCCGCGTCTCTCTCAAGACGATCGCGTTCCTCAACGTGTGCGCCAGCTCGCGGATCATGACTGCGCTGTCGCCGGTGGTGGGCCCGAACCAGTTCGAAGACGAGGGCCCCAACGTGACTCCGGACACGCGCGAGCATCCAGTACACCGCCGCCGCACCGGCCATAATGGAGTCGCTCACAACTGCCATTACGAGGTGTGCAAAATCCGTCTCTGGATCCGCCGCAAGACCCCTCAGGAGATCTTCGAGGCAGCTCAGGCTCGTGGCCGTCGGGGCAAGGAGCGCAAGGACCGCGAGGCCATCAAGATGCAGGCCGAGAGACTTGCCCAGAGAGCCAAGCTGGATATCAAGATGGAGCCGGAGCCGCGGCCGCGCGAGCCAGCCTACCGCACCCGCCCGGTGCCGATCTCGAGGACTCCCCAAGGTCAAGGCCCCCAAGGCTCAGGCAGAGGACCTGGAGGTGATCGACGAGGCCCCTCCGTGCACTTCCTACTCGACGGCCCGCGCGACGGCGGTGAAGTCACCTCCAGCAGATCCTCACTTGGTCGGGTACAAGTCACCACCGGAGACTCCGTCGAGCGGGACGTGGGTCAGGATGCTCGAACCGCCTCCCTCGGCCAGGATCACGCACGCGGACGTCAGCAACATGATGGACAGCATCAGGAACGTACTTGCTCAGGGGCGCCAGGGAGTGCAGGAGATCCGCGACGCGATCATCGAGGAGGTGCGCACCGAGAATGCGAGGGCCATGGAGGAGGCAATGCGCAAGGTACTCAGCGAAGTGAGGCGCTGAGTTCTACGATGTTCACGCTAGCCTCCCTCCGACACGAGGCTAAAGATCGGATCTTATCGGACGTTCAGGTTCGTTTTGGCACGGCCAGAGATCATAATATTGCAATGCGATCTGTCTCTACGATCGTGAATAAATTCAAGGGGGCTCCTGTTCCTTACGATCGAGAACGACATTTCGGAGTCTGGGGCACTTCAGATGGTAGCTCGATCGATCTTGACCATCTTTCAGAAACGGCGGGCTGGACGAAGCGCCAGCTCGAGTCGGGCGAGCTGGCATCGTTTCTGGTGCACCTCGCGTTCGCAGGTGCCAGCTCTCCTAGCGCCCGGCTGGGACTACCGGCCGACGTCGCCCGGGTGCAGATCGGGATCAGCATCGACGATGACACCGTCTCATCATCAAGTCATCCTCGATCGTCTATGGAGTGGACTGTCCGTCCGGGCCTTAAGCTCGGCCCTCTCGGGAGCTCAGCGTCGACAACTACGAGTTGAAGTTTGGGGGGCGGCCTCATATGGCCTTAGCGAACTACCCCTAGCTTTCGGGACAGCAGTCGAGCAAGAGAAGTTCACAGGGCCAGAGGATCCTAGTCGGTCTCCCCCTCGGATTCCGGCGTCTTGGGCCTTAGTCTCTTCCCCAGTCCATTTCGATCGTCCTCTCAGCACTCCCATAGCTCAGGTTCCTCGAAAAGTTAGGGGTGCTTTGCTTGAGACGTTCGAGGGCACCAGCATTCGGGCCACTCGCAGGAAGGTTCGCAAGCAACTGATCGAGAGATGCAAGCAGAAGAGATGCACTCAGGTCCTTGAGGTTTTCTCTCCCCCTCGGGTCTCCCAGGAGCTCAGCCGGAGAGGGTTTCCGGTGTCTCAGGCCATGGACCTGAATGCGGGCTTTGATTTTCGCAAGGCCCAGGATCGTCGCAAGCCATGGGAAACGCCGGAGTCAGATCGCCCTGAGATTGTTTTGATGACCCCCCCTGCACTGCGTTCAGTGTCGCCCGAGTAATCAACTGGCACCGACTGAGTCCAGATAAGCTCACGCAGACTGAGAGGGAGGGTCTTCTATTCTTAGGATTGTGCGCTCAGGTTGCCGAATATCAAATATCGAAGGCCAGGCTCTTCTGGCTAGAACAGCCTCTCACGGCGACGTCTCGGGAGCTTTACTCTATGCGAGTCCTGTCCGAGAAACCAGGAGTCAGCTCGGCGAGGTGTGATCAGTGCGAATATGGCTTGTCAGTCTCTCACCAGGGTCTCTCTCGCAAGCCCACCTCTTTTCTCTCCAACTCTCAGCATGTTCTCGACAAGTGTTCCAGGATGTGCAAGGGGGATCACATGCGCGTGCCTTTGGAGGGATCGGGCAGGACGAAGGCGGCTCAGCACTACCCGCCTGAGCTCGTGAGTGCCCTCGCCGAGGGCATCGAGGCGGCTGCCTGGTCTCGTGTCTCTCTAGGCCCCCGTTCGTATCAGGTGGCTGAGGCAGCTGACGTCGTCGCCGACGCGGCGAACCTGTTTCACTCCTACCCGCAGGCCGCTCCTCCTCCAGAGATTCCAGAAGGAGAGCGCCAGGGTCCGGACTCCGGAGGGGCCCCATAAGACGATCTGGTCGACGCAATCGGGGAGTTGGGGGGGCCCACCCTGTGATCCCGCGGACCCCCAGCTCTCGCAGGAGCTGAAGCGAGAAGTTGAAGCTTCACGTCAATTTAGGACACCCGTCTCTCCCCGAGTTTCTTCGAGTTTTGAAAATCGGAAAAGCACGAGAAGACGTGTTGCTTTGGACCCGCTCGAAGTTTCGCTGCGCCGCTTGCGAGTCTCACAGGCGCCCAGGATGGCGAAGAAGGGCACACCTGCCCAGAACTTATCGTTTTAACAAGATAATTGCAGTGGATCTGTTCTACGATCTGTTCTACGTGCAAGTAGACCAGCAGGCCGCGCCGGTGCTGAACATCATCGATCACGGGTCAAACCTCCAGTCTTGCACCTTTCTCCCAGGGGCCACTTCTCAGGACGTCTGGTCTGCTTTATGTCGTATCTGGGTTCGTCCCTACGGAATTTCAGAGGTTCTGATAAGCGACGGGGGTTCCGAATTTGCAGGATCATTCGCCAGAGGTCTCGAACGCTTAGGAGTTCTGCATCGCATCTGCAATTCCGAGGCCCCTCATGAGAACGGCAGGTGTGAGAGACACGGAGGACTGATCAAGGATGCTTTGTCGAAAGCAGCGCTGTTGTCCCATCCTGCCAATCTCGAGGAGATGTAAGATCTTTTATGCGAGACCGTCGCTGCGAAAAACCGTTTCTCACATAGAGGCGGCTTCTCGCCGCTTCAGCATGTTTTCGGCGAAAATCCCAGACTGCCGAGGTCAATATTATCAGACGATGCTCACGACGAGATTGGCACCGACGACGTTGCGAGGGGCACGTCTGATGGAGACACCGCTGCGGCCACTTATGCCCGGAAGCATGCGCTTCGCGAGGCTGCTCGCACGGCCATGATGTCTCTGGACGTGGGCGATCGTCTCAGATACGCTTCCCGGGCCAGGGAACACTCAGACAAGCAGTGCAATCCAGGCACCTGGGTATACGTTTGGCGTCGCGCCAGCGCGCAGACTCGGTCCGAGAATCTCCGAAGAAGCAGATGGACCGGGCCAGGAGTTGTCGTTTTCCAGCAGAATTCGACGCTGTGGATAGCGATGCGAGCCAAGCTTTTAAAGGTCTCCGAGGACCAAATCCGACCCGCCACCAAGGAGGAAGCTCTCGGAGGCGAGTTACTCGACTCGGTCGCCTTCGACCGGCTTAGGAAAGAGCTGGCTTCTCCAGGGCGTCGGGTCGGCGCGGTGGACGTGCAGTCAGAAGGGCCTCCACCTCCTGAGGCCTGGGATCAGCTTTCCGAGGCCGACGAGGACCCTCCTCCGAGACAGGAGCAACCCATCCCCCGGATCGATCCGTCCGAGCTCCCGCGTTATTCGGCTCTTCTTTCTCCTCCCAGGCCTCCCGAGGCCCCGGCCCCCGAGGTTGTCGTGATCGATCCAGGGCCCTCGCCTCCAGGTCACGAGCTGTCCACCGAGCCGCCGGCCTCGGGCAGGCAGACGCGTCAGGCCAGCCAGGAGTCTCCCGATCTCCTCTCTCCCTCGTGCTCCCGTGACCCCTCTCCCTCTCCTCCTCGTTTGTCTCCCTCCGTTCCCTCCGTTTCTCCTCCGCCGCAGGTCCCTTCACAGCCCGCCGCGGAGGCCAGGCCGGCTTCTCTCCAGCCCCGCAGGCCCCCTGTCAATCCCCCGAGCCCGAGCCGACCCGTCCCAGGATCACCCCGGTCGAACAGATGGGTCTTCCGGCTCCGGGGCGGGTGCAAGAGCAGGTTGCCGAGTTTGATGCCAGGCCCGGGACCGTCCCTCCTCCCAGGCCGATCGTTAGAGGCGCAGGAGATAGTGACGTTCCGATGTGCATTTTAAGACAAATGGCAGCTCAGGCCCCACCACCTCCGGCTCCTCAGCCCGCCGCCAGAGTGGGCTCGCGTTCGCCCAAGAGAGGCGGGCCGTCCGAAGGAGCATCGGCGTCGGGCCATTTCGGACACGTCGAAGGGGGTTTCACGCCTCGTCCCGGCTCGCCGACCACTAGCCTCGCCTTTTGGTCGGCTCAGATAGAGGACGGGGAGCAAGAAGAGCAGCTATGGGGGAACTGTGCTCGTGGTTTTCACTTTCGCCCGACTTTTACCGGGGTCCCCAGCCGACTCAGGTCTTTGCAGCCGACCAGTCAGGCCGGGGACCCAGCAATGCTGCGCCTCCGTCTCGTAGAGGAGCGGAGGTATCCTTGGAAAACTTGTCCCCTCGCGAGAGGGCTCTGTTTGATTTTTCTGATGCTAAGGAGTGGGGGGCCATCTTGAGCTCAGGAGCGGTACGTGTGGCCCCCGCCTCGGAGGCTTCAATCATCAGAAGGCGGTGTCCCGATCGTATTCTCGGATCCAGGATGGTGGGGCGCTTCGAACCACAAGAAGGAGTTGGTTCGGAACCCTTGGCAAAGTCGAGATGGTGCGTGCAGGGCCATCAAGACCCAGATTCGGACGAGCTTCACGTGTACGCCCCCACTCCTCAGAGCGAGACCGATCTTTTAATCTTACAGTGCGTCGCCTCATTAGGCTGGAAGCTTCAGATTGCGGACGCAAAGAACGCTTTGCGCCATAGCGACCCGTTGCATCGCCCAAGGGAGCTGTTTACTGCGAGCCATGTCAAGGTTTAAATCTGGCCCTGGGGGAACTCGTGGAGCTTATCGCCCCAGTTTACGGGCTCAACGACGCCCCGGTCCTCTGGCACCGAACTTTAACTGACTGGCTCGGTTCGATCGGATTTCGAAAGTCACTCTTGGACCCCTGTCTGTGGTCACTTCGGTCGGGCCAAGGTGAGCTTAGGGCGGTCATTCTCATAGAGGTCGACGACCTCCTGGTGGCAGTTCATCCCTTGATGTGCTCTTCACTCAAGGAGCAGATGCAAGCCAGGTTTCGCTTCGGAAAATGGCAAGAGGGCGAGGCCGACTACGCGGGCCGCCACGTTAAACAGCATGATAATAAGATATGCGTTGATCAGGAGAAATACATCCAGGAGCAACTCACGCCGATGCGGCTCGAGAAATCTCGTCTTTCGGACCCTTCCTCCCCGTTGACCCCGAGTGAGGGGTCAAGCTTTGCAGAGCCATGATCGCCCAGGTCCAGTGGGTCGCTCGAGAATCGAGGCCTGGCGTGTCAGGCTGCGCTTCTTTGCAGAGTGCGGCCTTACCGAGTCCGACAGTCGCTGACGCCCAGCTTGTGATTAAAGCATGTAAGTATCTCAAGTCGACTGCTAGTCAACGTTTGACTATCTGGCAGCTAGATCCGGCATCAGTCACATTCGTGACGATATCGGACGCAGGAGGCCCAGGATCCGCTCGGCGAGGTGGAGCGCATGGCGCTTTCCTTGTGCTCGCCGCTGACAGCATTATCAGAAGCAATCATCGAGCAAAAGTGCCCCTGCTTTCTTGGAGGTCCCAGAGGATCAAGCGTGCTGTTTCGTCTACCGCTGCAGCAGAAACGTTGAGCCTGTCTTCTGCGGTAGCAGAGTCTCAGTGGCTGCAGATAATGTGGAGAGATCTCCTCTTCAACGACGTGAGCAAGCCCGACTGGCACCTCAGCCAGGCACCTTTCTCTCTTGTCCTCCCCCGCGATTGCTCTCTTAATGAGGGCGTGTCGTCCGTCTCGGTCGTCGACGCCAAGTCGGTCTTCGACGTCCTGACCCGCCGCAATAGTGCCGGCACTAAGGCCGACCGGCGCAACGCGATAGAGATGTCAGTCATCAGGGATAGCTTATCCTCCTTAGGATCACAAATCAGATGGGTCCCACACGGACTCATGCCAGCAGACTGTCTAACTAAGGCGGACGTAGCTAAGGGGAACCTGGCGTTGAACGACCTTCTCAGGAAGGGCACCCTCGCCCTCATAGACGAGGATTTCCACATGAGCGAGAAAGCCCTAAACGAACACCTCAAGTCTAGAACGAAATCAGCCTCGAAGCGAGCCATCCAGAAGCAATCCGAGGGCCCCGGCTGCGAGTCCCTGGTATCCAGTCCCGTGTACGCTGGTCTAGAGATCGCTGAGGGGAATGAGGGGGATGGACCCATGTCTGTCCCACGAGAAGTGGTCCCGCTGTCTCTCCTTGCCCACTCCCCCTAAGTCGTGTGCGCTTGTTGCCAGCTATGTGACAGACATTGTATAGTCCGTTTCTGTACGTAGCCGTTCCGGCTTTAGCCAGCATGTTCATTACAGGTGCTCTCGAGTGAGGGAGTCTGAAACATATCATCGTATCGGTCGCACGATGTCTCGCGATGTTGACAAGAGGACGAGGATGTTTCTTATTCACAGATCCTCAAATTCACTCGTGCTCAGACTCACTCATATTCAGACTCTGACCCATCATACTAACACTCAGGGTCACTCGCACTCAGACTGACGGACAGGACTGGCTCCAATCCCGTATGTTCTACGTATGTTCCTATCGATCGGACTTCTTCTGGGGCACGAGTCCTTAGTGTTTTACGTATGTTCTATTCATTGTCCTTCTCCTGCATCTCTAACCATATGTGTTTTACGTCGCTTCCTGTAGATTGGGCCTGCCCTGGGGCACGTGTCCTTGGTGTTTTACGCGTGCTCCTTCTAGATTGTCCTTCTCCTGTGTCTCCAATCATATGTGCTTTTCGTATGTTCCTATAGATTGGGCTTCTCCTGGGGCACAAGTGCTCCCTAGGAGGCCCCAGGAGGCTCCAGGAGGCCCCAGGAGGTCCCAGGAGGCTACACGAGGCCTCAGGGGCCCCAGGAAGCACCAGGAAACACCAGGAGGCCCCAGGAGGCCACACGAGGCTCCAGGAGGCCCCAGGAAGCCCCGCGAGGCCCCAGGAGGCCCCAGGATTCACAGTTAGACTCTTTCCCAGTCTATCGATACCCAAATCCGTTTGTATTCGAAGTCTCTTGCGCCTCGACACTCACGGCGGACAGGTCCATGCAAACATATGCACATATGGGGAGCTCCACGCAGTGAATACTTTGTCTTTCAAGGACTCCGTGGTATCTTGAGGGCATT